CATGCCAATGTCGTAGATCAAAGCTTGCAATTGAAAATCTCGGGCGTAGGAGGTGCATCGACTGAGGACCTTGCGCATGAAACTCGCACGGAGGCTGGGTTTGCTCTTGACGGAGATGCGACCGAGGCTGACGAGTCTGTTGCTGATGTCCGAGTCGCCGAAGGAAGCCAGGGGATACAACCAGGGTCGGAATGCAACCTCGATGCCGGATAGCTGCAATAGCAAAGTGGCAGTGGGGATGCGCCGCCAGTCTTTGTCAGAGGCCGGCTGTGCTTTGCAGAGTTCATCGTGCATTTCCACAAATTGCCTGTAAGTGGTGTTGTTGTGCATGAGCCAGTCGAAGATTGCCTTCTGGGATTCATCTTTCCGGAGAGTCAAGAGCGATTCTGCTCGCCATTCGGCACGAACGACTGATGTTTTCTGCTTGCTGACGACCTCTGCCTTGCCTCCACGCCGTGTTCTGTAATCCACATAGATGTCCAGGACTTGCAAGGCCGCGACCTCGACGTGCTGCAAGACTGTGTCCGTCACCGTCGCCGATTCCATGATCGGCAACCAGTTGCACATCTGCGGCGTGACGTATGCCATCAATTTCGAGGGCGGGTGGCCTTCGAAAGGTTCCAGCAAATCCTCGGCCGAGGTGTCGCAACAGGGTCTGCATTCATCTGCACCGGAAACTGTGTCTTTGCTGGCGTGGCCACGCGGCCGATGTCGGCCACATTTTGGACAGAAAGTCCAGGACAAGGACGAGAACCATGTGTCGCTGGGGTGCGATGCTTGCCGTGCTTGTCTGAGATTCGGTCTCGGGACGCTCACAGAAAAAAAGCGTGCGCTTTCTTCTGTCCATGTGTTTGCCGCTGGCTTTGGAGCAAGGCGGGTCGGGTGACGTCTCCACTCCTCCAGAGTAGACTTCGGCACATATTTCTCAGCTTGGGGGTTCTCGTAACTGATGCCTGGCACGGCCTTCTGGATCGCTGCCCAGGCGTCCTGCCAGTTCGGTGTGCTGCTCACTGCTTTCTGCATGGCTAACTTTTCTGCATCGGAGAAATTCCTCGGCTTGCTCGGACGGCCTTTTGCACAGCTTGACCTGAGTGCCGGGGAAGATTTGTTGTCTGCGTTTGCACAATTTCTGGGCTTGGTCGGCTGACTTTTGGCACGGGGTGTCGAGGGAGCAGCGTCGGCCCCGAAAGCTCGCTCTCTTTGAGCACTTGATTTGTGCCAACGTCTCAGCGTTGATCTCGGAATGTAGCCTGGCCTGTTGTTGTCTTTGCAGGTGAAGTGAGGTACGGACTCGCGTATTTCTGCCAAAGCCGATGCCAGATCAGCTGACTTCTCCAAGGAGGAACGAATTGCTTTCTGTTCTTCGTGGGTGAATGCTTTCAGACGGG